ATGATTAAAATTTATAGAAACAAATACTAGTTTTGAATTTAGTTAATTTTTGTCATGGTTTAATGTTTTTAATTTTTTTTTTACATATAAACTTAACTATTTCTCATTAAATTTTGTCTTCGAATAGTTTTTTTGTTATTAAAATAATTTTCTTTATGATTAATTTTTAAAATTATATTTATTCAAAATCTATATTATATATTTGGATATTATAGTTATACAAAAACTATTTATATTACTATATTTTTAAAAACTATTAAATCTGGTTCGATCCGGTCGGACTACATTAATCCATGACCCAAAAGTTTTTTCGGTTTGGTCGCCGGTCCGGTTTTAAAAACATTTGCAAAGAATAAAAGAAGAACAAATATTTGCTTTATCCACCGCCCAATAATGTGAATCACTTCAAAAGTTGTCCGAATCAGCGATCATCCCTTACTAGGAAGATAGCAAAATGAAAACTGAATATGTGAACATAATTTAAAAAAGTAATTAAGGGAATAAATATTAACAAAAATCGTAACAATGCGATTGCGAAGAAGAAGAGAAGACTAATTATTCACTTTATTTTCTTTTCGTCCACATTAAGATTTGCACGTAAATGATTATTTTTTACTTTATAGACTCTTTTATTATTGGCAACCTTGTCCTAACTTTTTTCGTGTGTGTTCGTTTATAAAACCCAAAATCACTTTCTTTAATTCTCTCTTCCTCTTTGTTTTCCCTTTTCATTTCTTCCACCGACGTCATCTTTACGCCGATCTCCATCTCTTGCCGGGGACTTTTCATTTCTCCGTTCTCTATCCCTCCGATTCCGGATTCCCCATTCTTCTCTATGTGATTGATTCCTTTCAAAACCCCTAAATTTTTGTTTTTTTTTTCTCTCTTTCTGCAATTATTGACCTTGATTTTGCTCCTGAATCTGGAAATTTTCTTCCCGAATCAGAAGACTTTAGTCACGCTATAGATTCCCCCTAGGTGATATAGATCAAACATCTTCTCTTTTTTTCTGGATCAACCGTCGTTTGGGATCCCATCTTGTTGATGGGCACAACTAGGGTTTGCACGGAGGTTTCGAAATCGATTAGCCCTTCGGTCACGGTGTCGACCTCTCGCACAGATACCGTCAATGGGTACCACGAATTCATGATTAGCGGCTACTCTCTCGCCAAAGGCATTGGGATCGGCAAATACGTCGCCTCCGATACGTTCATGGTCGGTGGTTACTCGTGGGCAATCTACTTCTACCCAGATGGTAAGAGTCCGGAGGATAACTCGGCTTACGTTTCTTTGTTCATTGCTCTCGCCAGCGAAGGAGCCGATGTCAGGGCTTTATTCGAGCTCACGCTCGTCGATCAGAGTGGCAATGGAAAGCATAAGGTTCATAGCCATTTCGGTAGAGCACTCGAGAGCGGACCCTATACTCTCAAGTATCGGGGAAGTATGTGGTCAGTAATTCTTTCTCTATTCCTGGAAATTCTCAATCTTGCAATGAGAGAACACGTTTTTCTTCTGATGGGTTTAGAATGTTTTGATGTGGCTCTGTGATAGCTTGATAGGATTGTGATTTGGTTGGGTTGATTCAATCTTTAATGTAATTGGTGGTTGTTTGGTTCAGGGGATACAAGCGGTTTTTCAGGAGGACTGGTCTAGAATCATCTGACTATCTCAAGGACAATAGTCTCTTGGTTCGGTGCCGTGTCGGTGTGGTGAAGTCTCGCACAGAGGGACCGAGGAGTTACAACATCCCTGTGCCAATTTCTGACTTGGGCCAACAGTTGGGAAATCTTTTGGAAAGTGGGAAAGGTTGTGATGTTACTTTCAAAGTCGGTGAAGAAACATTCCCTGCGCACAAATTGGTTCTTGCAACGCGTTCCCCAGTTTTCAGGGCACAGCTTTTTGGCCCGTTAGGAGATCGAAATACCAAGTGCATTAAGATACAAGACATGGAATCCCGAATTTTCAAGGTCCTCATTTTAATTTTATTTCTGATATTACGTTTGTTAGACCTTGGAATGTGTAAGTAGATGTCTACAGTTGGGTCTTACAGAGTCTTGTAGGGAGAGATAGATTTCTTGGTTCCTTGCCTTTTTCTCGGGTGAGTGATTGTGGTGTCATACAGGATTTTCTATTCACGGATGTACCATCCGGGATCTTCTCCTGGGGCGCTACTTCTGTTCTCGAGTTTACTCACCCGGGATAAGGTTCTTTCTTTCTGCTTCTCTTCCTGGTTGGTTGCATGAAATGACTGTTTTGTTATAGATCCGAAAGCCATTTTCGTGTTTAGCTTATACATGGACATGAGCTCACTCGTTATGCTGTTAAAATGTCTTTCCTCTTGATCTTTGTGATTTAACTTGATGAACAAACTGGATTTTCAGCATATTAGAGAGATTGCAAATCTATTTCTGATTTCTCTTTGTCATGATAGGTCCTTTAAGTCGTTTCTAGAGTTATTCGTCCTTGCTTTAGGTTCAGATCCTAACTCCTGGTAATTTATACGTGGATTTGTATCCTGATACAAACCCTTTTTCCCTTTGGATGTTCAGGTTTTACTTCATTTTATCTACTGGGATGAATTACCTGATATGCAAGAGTTAATGGGCACAGACTCTAAATCGGGTTCTACTCTTGTGGCTCAGCATCTGCTTGCAGCGGCAGACTGTTATGCTCTTGAGCGGCTTAAAGCAATCTGTGAGTCAAAACTCTGTGAAGGGATCGCCATAAACACGGTTGCAACCACCTTGGCCCTAGCAGAGCAGCACCATTGTTTACAGCTAAAAGCAGTCTGTCTCAAATTCGTTGCTTTGCCAGAGAACCTAAAAGGTAAGATCTTTCTTTTTTTTCTTTAAAACCGATCCAAAGTCGCATCATCGGAACTCACTGAGATTGTTATTTTTATCAGCTGTGATGCAAACAGATGGGTTTGATTATCTGAAAAAGAGTTGTCCATCTTTACTAACTGAGCTATTGGAGTATGTGGCGAGGCTTAATGAACAATCTGTTATAGCATCCGGGCATCGAAAAGAGGTATTTGCTGATGGATGTGATGCAAATGGAAGACGAGTGAAGCAGCGGTTGCATTGAAGTAGCCGATGTGGACAGAAGCAAAGATTATAGGAGAGAAGAAGAAAGATGTGTGCATTGTATAATCTCTGTTAAAGGATAGCAGCGGATCTGATCCAGCATGTATAATCAAATCTCTTTCAATGCTTTTATTAAAATCAAAGATTCAATGGGAACATGAGTATTGATCTTGGTGTTTATCAGAGTATCTAATGAAACTTGTAATTCTACAAGTATATGAGTATTAAGTGTTACAACGTAGATAGCCAAAGGTCTGTCTGAGAACTCAATAGAAAGCTATCAAGACAAATTACATCAGGATCTGTAAGAAAGCTCTTGCATCTTCATCTTCTCACTTTTCTCTCTCTTATCTCGCTCTTTAGTCATGTTCCAGCTCTCGATCATATGTTTCGGTGCTTGCAAATGCGGAGGGTGGCTTCTCTTTTAGCTCCCTTAGACGCCTAGACCCAAAACATCATCTTAGTACCAGCGACTCATTGCAGTATCTTGTGCTGCAGCCACTTTCTGTGGCATATACTGAGGATTTGGTTTCATCCTGCTTGGACCTTCAGTGGCGGCGCAGTCTTCATCTCCTCTGCTGCTTTTGCAAGGCTGTGTTCTCTTAGGGTATTGAGATGCGCCAGCTGGATTTCTGACCATCCTTCGCTGTTGTTGTTCAAGAGCTTCAACGCCTGTGGCTGCGCCGCAGTTGTTGTAGCGCAACACTGACCCAACTACTTTCCCAGGCCTAGCTACTGTACCTGCTACATGTGAGCAAGTTCAGAAACCAGAGAAGTGAATCATAACTAATAATATATACAAAAAGAAAGAGAGAGAGAGACCTTGGGTTGTTTGAGGAACGTTAATAGGGATTCGAGACATTGGCATCTGCGCATTCCTGTCTGCACCACGAGGTCTCTCTGTATCTCTGATGCTACACTTGGACAGTCCATCAGTGACTTCNACTGAACTCTGTTGAGCTGCCGCATGATTGTTATCAGAGTACAAAACGCAAGCCCTGCAAATCATAACACTCAATGTGCTGTTTCGAAAGAATTCCCAAATGCTTGGAGGAAGTAAAGCATACCTAGGTAAGGATGCGTGCTGTTGCCTCTCGGGGGGAGTATGAGAAGTACCATTCTTGTAGTGTTCCTCGAGGTAAGCAAACTGTTTCTTGAAATGTTCCACCGCACTGCAGAATGAATAATACATATCCAAAAGATCATGGACGAGTACATAAGAGCATAGTTATGAAGCAGGTTAGGTCGGGAAAGTACCTCGGGTACATAAAGTTAGTTGGCTCTGATCCATCCAAGTATTCTTTCAGCATATTTGGGTGGTACTCAAGAGACTCTCTGTATATGAGCTCTCGCACGTCTTCTTTTGTTATCCTCCGCCTCTCGAACTCGAATTCCAACTTCGTGACAGGTTGAGCAGAAGGCTCTCTTTCAACCTTAGCTAGACCCTTGAAGTATGGATCCGCAAGCGCCTAAGGTAACACATAAAAACTAAACTTTAGTGGAGTGGAACCAAACATACATCATAAGTAGAGTACTGAACGAAATTTGTGAAGGACCTCTTCAGCTGTAGGCCGGTCCTTGGGTTCAAAAGCCAACATCTTTTCGAGAAGACGAAGTGCGAGAGGATCAGCGTGTGGGAACTTATGTGAAAAAGGAATAGGCTTCTTCTTCCTCATGCTGCTTAAGTATCTCCGAGCTTTCTCGTTCCGCACCTGTCACATCCAGTCAGTGCAAGCAATTCAACAGAAACGAAAATATGCAGCGTTTGTGTTAAGCATTGTGGAAAAAGATACTGACCCTTCCAATGGCTTCCGCAGATGGAGTTCCCAACATATCAGTCATCAGATCCAATTGATGGACTACATTTTTCCCAGGGAATAGAGGTTTCCCTGTTAAGAGCTCTGCAAAAATGCACCCGATGCTCCATATATCTATCGCAGGTGTATACTGAACATAACCAAAGATTAAAATAATATATGACTACGATTCCCTATAAAGATTTGAAACATTTGAAAAAATCATGTACGCAAAATCATTATCACCTTTGAGAAAAATGATCCACACAGTTCTGGAGCCCGGTACCATCGAGTAGCTACATAGTCCTGCATTGACAAAGCAATAGGATAAAAATTGGTTTCTTGCCAGAAGGAGTAATCTTGTAAAGATTAGGCATTGAACAACTACTCACAGTCCAAAATATAGCGGTTGGCGTATCATTGAATGCAACTCTTGCGAGCCCAAAATCACAGATCTTCAGTTTGCAATCAGCATTTGCCAATATGTTTTTGGGTTTTAGATCCCGATGAAAGACATTCGCTGAAGGAAAAACAAAAAAAAACAAAACAAATTATGAAAAAGAAGTAAACAACACTCAAAACTTCTGGTAATGTGAGGATAAGCGATCTAACCTGTGTGAATATACTTGAGGCCACGGAGAAGCTGATAGAGGAAAAACTGGTAATGCTCAGGAGTCAAATCATCATTGGCCTTAATAACCTGATGCAGATCAGATTCCATGAGCTCGAAAACCACGTAAATGTCTCTGAACTCTCTTCTTGAAGGTGGCAACAAGATGTGTTTGATCTCAACAATGTCTGGATGTCGTAAGAGCCTGAGAAGTTTGATCTCGCGGAGAATGCGCGTTGCATCCGAAACATGCTCGAAAATATCATTGATTTTCTTGATCGCAACTTTCTCTCCCGTGTGTGTATCGTAAGCCGAGCAGACGACTCCATAGCTTCCTTTACCAATAACTTCCTCTATTCTGTATCTGCTTCCTTCACCGTATTCCGTGAAGAAATCTACATCGACTGATGACTGAATATGCAGAAAAAATCTAATGTCAATAAAAAGCTTTTAAGAGACAGAGATCAATGAATTTTCTAACCAAGAGAAGTACTAAGATTAAGACTTAAACAAAAGGCAGTGATAGTGCATAGTGTTAGTTACAGATCCTAAGGAGTGTAATCGGATCTCACATCTCTAATATTATCCATTTGATAGAGAAAGAGACAGAAAAATTCGACCTTTTTGCGCTGATCAGGCTGCATCTTCAGCTACAGAGCATCCAATAAACACTTATGAATCTCTTCTAAACCCGAACTAGTGAGCTTTGAATCAAAGATAAACTCGACCCAGATCGAATAGAATGCAGAATCTACAGAATTTTGATATCCAACTCCACTGGCAAAGGAAACCAAGAGCTAACAACGCAATGTCAAAACCCAGAGCTCGTTTTTTTTTCCAAATCCCTAAATCCAGTATCGAATGAATCCACCAGAACAGAGATTGAAGCGAATCAGAGAAGTTTCCGAGACCCAACAAAAAGAGAGAAGAAAACTTCTGGGTGAAACAAGGAATACCTAATCGAGATTTCGTTGCTTTTTTTTGCAGTGAAATCAAGGGATTAGAACAAGTTTAAGAAACAGGAAACAAAAATCTCTAGATGGGTAATTTGAGAATGAAGAAAGTTGAGGTTTTCTTAGCTTCTTCGATCAATCTCTGCTTAAAAATCACTCTGGGAATAGGAAAAAAAAAAGATAAAAGGAGACAGCTTTTCAAAAGCCGAGAAGCTTTACGTGCTTCAAAAACCAAAATAAATTCTCTAAAGCTTACAAGAGAGTTTATTTTAGGATCTGAATCTCACAAGGCGAGACAAAAGGGTCGAGTTTTCTCTCTTTGTAGAAGAAAATGTGAGAGAGATCTATATTCTTTATGATGGATGATGAAGAAACAGAACAAGTAATTTTAGTATTTTTTTATTTTATTTTCTGTGATAATTGAAAAAGCAGATAAGTGGAGTCTGATTATCGTAGTACGAAAAGTCTCATTTGCCCTCAGGTTTATGGGTACTCGCGACTTCGGAGGTAAAACCTAGCTTTCGATAACGTCAAGAGACGAATATAATACTCTCTTTCCATCATGAAAATTGATGTTCTATTAGTTTCACATAAATTAAGAAATAATAAATTATATTTATTTATTAGTACATCTAAACATTTTTTAATAACTAAAAACCAATAGTTATTTTATAAATTCAAATATCTTCATTTAATAATTCTTGAAGTTTACAATTTGTTAATACTAATCAATAAAAAATGTTAGAACATCAATCTTTGTAAAACAACAAAAAAAGCTAGGACATCAATTTTCATAGAACAGAGGGAGTATTTTAGATATTTTCCGCATTAAATGATTTTTATATGATCATCTAATTAATATTTTCTCCATTCCACAGTGATAAATTTTCTTCAAAAAAAAATTATTCCACAAAAAAATTTCTAGTGTCTCAATATAATTAATGCTAGTAGATTGTAAATTTCAATAAAATTATTAAAACACTATTGGTTAAAAAATTTTGAAAACAGTTTATTGTTAAAATCAATGGCATTTATAATAAAAAATGTGTTGTTG